TTTCGGGTTTACACTGGATATGGGGTGTATGGTTGGAGCTGTGGGTGGTGCAGCGCCAGCCACCCATGTTCCCTCTGTAGGCACAGGCGTGCTGTGGCTTTTCCCGTGGAGGCCGCAGTGACAGGAAAATTCGGAAACGGATGTCGCCAACCATGTTACACACCTAGAACCACAACCAATTGCACATGGTAATTGGCACGTTTGCGCTCATTTGACCAAAGTCTACCTGGTTTGAGGCGGGCGGTAGCAAACCATTAAGCACGGAGTACTGGTGTCCCAACCTATGAGGCATTCCATGGCAATCAAACTCTCCGGCAATCGAGATGTGAGCTGAATACCCATAACCTTTAGCCTCCCACGACTAATTTCTGTAGGAAGATGGCTAACCGAAAAGGATACAGACCACCTACCATTGGCCTGTCTGACTGAAGACGCTCCGAACCTTTCACTCTGCGCGATTATTGAGTCACGGCGGTACATTACCGAACCCACCTATTTTAGTTGCAGTCTCCTCCGCATGTCGCACCGAGTTTCGCTGCCACGCGATCAACACTAGTCAAGTGCTTTCTATGAACACTGAGGAGTCACCCACACCTACGCAGGATGCTACCGACTGTCTGAGTATGGCGTGCCAGAGGTCTTATTCACTTTGCCACCGTCCGACTATAGGCAATTTCGACCCAACTATTTGCGTGTCGCACAGAGCAGGTCCCAGAAGTTTCTTCCTTTACAGTAGACCTCTTAATTTGGCAAATTGCGATTCTAACGCAGCATGAGTGTGTACTTCGACTGGGAAATGGATGAAACTCATGTCTCCTTCTTTTGACTTTCACAGCATTCACCCAGTTTTCTGCATTTTGTCTGTCATCTGTGTTTTACTCTTTGTTATAGCACACTTTCTCCCAATGCATGAGTCATTTCCACTCCGATTTCGTGTCGAGGCATCACCCATTTGAAGCCAGCAGGTGCTCTACAAGCACTAGAAGGCTTGGATGGACAATCCCTAACCTCCAGCACTGAGTGTGCATCCGCGTTAGTCGCGCTCTTCGCTTCCCTGTATGCAAACGAACGAGTGTCTGTATCGTGTTCAACCTGTATCGCGTTTACCTAACACGACACTGGTTTGCGGTATTCAAGGGCTGAGTCAACTACTCGCCAACATTGACGGCACTAAACATGCTGGTTCTGACAGACTACACCCACTATTCTCAAGTTCCGTTCGGCCATCACCTCCACCTGCTGTGAATAACTTCACCAAGACTGTCCGAAGGTTTTTTCCAAGGGACTGGAAATGCTCAGTAGTAAAAGCAATTCCTAGAGGCGGTGACCCCGGCAAACTGACTACTACGGGCGAATTTGTCTGATACTTATTTTGACCAAAGTTACCGAAAAAATTTTGATTAACGGTTTACTGCAACTGTTCCAATTAAAACATCTATTGACGCCCGCACAACAGGGTCTCTTGGTTGGCTGACCATGTATTATTAACCTGCTGATGACGTGGCATGAATAGTTGCAGCCACTGAACCAGGGAAAGCCTTTCGACGTACTCTACATTGATTTCAGTAAAGCATTCGACAAGATGAACCATGGCTTCTTCCACAAGCTGAGAATATGCGGTGTTGGTGGATCACTGCATCAGTGGATCCAAGACTTTCTCGTTGGACGAAAGTGTATAGTACAGGTCGGCGGCCATCTAACTGTCTGGTACCTCTCTACTAGTGCCATATTCCAAGACAAGGTATTAGAGCCCACCCTGTTCCTTAATCACGTAAACTGTCTAGCTCAACTTCGGTTGCTCTGTGTCTTGTTTATGGATGACCTGCAAATTTGGATAGTGATTAGCACCCCAGGTAACTGCAGCCTACTTCAGCAAGACCTCAACCGCCTTTCCATGGGGTCCACAGAAGTCCGCCACCCTGTCAACCCATCCAAGTCGGTATTTATGAGCCTGGGGAAGGGTGGTGACGACCGAACGTGCACCATTTATGACCAACCGCTACGTCCAACTCCTTCCGTGAGGGACCTATATGTGTTCTGGCGCTGCGATTTGAAGTACGCGGACAACACGAAGATGCTATATCGTAACGAACTGCGCGTGTTTTGGACACTCAACGTACTTTCTCTGTATTTGGTCTGAGGAGGTCGCCATTCGCCCCTTCTCTTCCATCATAAGATCAGTACTGGAGTACGGCTCGCCTGCCTACTATTCAATCGATCTAAGCGAGCCACCGAAGATCGACCGGGTCCAGCACCACGCTGCCGGTTCCATTCCGAGTTTACGTGGATAACCGTACGAAGACCGGTGAGAAAAACTGTGACCGTACATATTGTCCTATCGTCTGCTGCCAGTCAATCTCATCGGGACTTACCGCATATTACATCTTGGTGACTTCCCCATGTTAAGACCGCTGGTTCACTTGCGAAGGTCATGCAGCACACGCGGAGACCGGTACAGGCTTGTGATGCCGGATATAAAACGAGTTCCCTCACCACCTGTGCTTCGAACGGAGAGTGGTAAATGTTTGGAACAGTCTGCTAGAACATATCATAGAAGCCAATTATGTGTCGCACTTTACAGCTGTTGGATTTACATTTCACCACCATTCGACTCAGTGAGCGATCACACACTGGCAATGACATCTTACATTTGAGAGTACAGTGAAACTGTAAGTCGGACGTTTTCAAATGCTACATAATAAATCGAAAAGCGATTAGGGTATCAATAGGTAATGGCTATTTTTATAGCATTTTTGCTATATTCCGATGGATTTGTAATAATCTTGATCTCTATCAGCAACAGATTCGTCACCCCTGTTCTGTATTGGATGCCAGTAACCAATCCGGCCTAGTTCGGTGACGCGACGCACCAAGCTTCGCTCGTAGGTAATCCTTAACGATGCGTACATTGTTCTCGCTAGTTGTGCCCCGCTTGTACAGTAGATGGTCGACTGATTGCAATACCTCCGGAAACTTACCCGCATACACCCAACTTTTGCCGACAACAATTGACGCACACGCCTTGGTCTCGCTCGCAAGAGAGAAGACAGACCGCGAAGTGCTTTTTAGGATAATGCAAAGGAGGGTACGGACCAGGACGCCGCTTTGATCGCTGGGAGAATGACTCATTACATTGAGGTGTGAGATTAAAAAGTGCATCTTTAATTCCGTACCCGCTGCGCTTGCCCTGAATCTACAGCTTTGGGAGCAAGAAATCCGTTCCGCGCTGTGTGCCATGGTGACGTGGGCGGTGTCGTGTAACTTTTTCGGAGTTGCTTTGTACTCCCGCAACAAGGTTGTACAGGTTTACATTTCTACTTTCTCCCACAATACTGGGTTTAGTGTTGATAGTTCGCTTGAACTTATCGCAGAGATTCAATTTCTTCTTCCAAATTTCCCAGTTTCCGGCTAAGTTGCTCTGGTCCATGTTCATTACGACGGAAGGTTGTACAACCTGTTGATCTCGAATTAGCTACTGAGCACCGTACGTTGACTTCACCTTGTTTTCCTCTTGCAACATGTCGCAAAGCCGGTTCTTCAGAATCGACCAGGTCTCTTAATAGAGACAGAACATTTGACCCACCGAGCGCCGCGATTTCTAGTGTTTGTCCGTTTTCATTAATAAACAAGCCCTTGGACCAGCGAGTTTTCTCTTTTGACTCAGTCATATACAGTACTATGAAATTTATTGTGACAAGCCAGCGTCAACCGATCTGCGGGGCCACGTAGTCGAACAACCGTGTATGGCGCGTCTGATGAACGAATCGGTCAGTTTCTCCTCCATCTGTGCCCTCTGGTTGGATACTCCCAGCCCGATATAGGTGCCTCTAGCTATACAGACACAGAGCACTTCGTTTCTGTACCTGCTTCACATTCTCAGTTTGCGCAGGTGTTACAGTAGTACACACAAAACTGCTTAGTTGGTTTTAAGGGGCCCTTTTGAATCATATGCTGTGTGAGTGGATTGCGATACACCATCTACTTCTGGTGCTGCCCCAGCCATCGAATTAGCTGAGGATCGCTTTAACGTTAATTGTGCACCTGACTGAGATTACTCGCCGCAGTCCATTCACATTACGATTGCTTCGAAATGACTCCCTCCAAGCGTTTCCAGCCGCTACTCGGTGGTTTAAGAGTAGTGGTTTCGGCTGACATCTTAACGGTTCCGAGTTCGAATGACAATACTACAAACAACTACGACACTGGTGTTCTAGTAATATGTTACGTACAGAAAACACCTAATCTACCTGGGTGGTTGTTCTTCCTGTTGTGTATCCGATCGGTGTGTTTGACGGCTAGTCTAGATAGACACGTGCACACAACCCCAGACATACACACAAGTGCATACTTCTCTGCTTCCCTATTGGTTCATCCTTCTCCTTGCGACATCTTAATGTACGCACATACTTAGACACCTCTCAGATTACAGTAGCTTGTTTACCGGAGCAACCTTCTTACTTCGGTTCGTGCATTTGACTTTTCGTACACAACCTCCCATCTGTATGGATCATGCTACTTTTTTTAAGCTTTATCCACCCATGAACATTGTCACCAATTCTCTGAAACGTGCCGTTCTGTAGCTCGGAGTTTATTTTGTTGACCAGAAGCTATCACATTAGATGACACTCAGGCTGGACAGTTGCCGGCCATGAAGCACCGCCCATCTCTGTATGGGTGTGATCACTAAGGCGATTTGTAACGTCTAATGACATCTATACAGGTTAACGCTTTTAGAACATGGTGAACTAGAAGTTTCTTATGAACACTGTTTATATTTTGTCCTGCTGCTATCCGGAGGATTTCGGCATTTATACCATCGTTAATATTTAGGTTATAGGTTTTTTTAGGTTCAAAATCCTGTTTGTCGAATCGACTACTTCTCGTTTCTTTGCTTTATTCTGATAGTTCCTATTCAATTAGTGCTTTTTATAGCATCTTGTGTTTGAACCACGTGTACTCTGATTGATCAAGTTTTTATAATGCTCCTCTTGACTCTGCAGACAATAAGCGTAAGGGTGATGAAGACACAGAGGATACGAAACAAAAAGTCAAATGCTTTGGAGGGAAGAAGTGCACTGACCTGATTGTGTTGAACTTAGCTTGGCAAACAGATGAAGCCAAATTGCGCAATTATTTTTCACAATTCGGTGATCTGGTAATGGTTCAGGTAAGCCATCCACTGCACTGTTGTCTCTCATGGTCCATGTTTTTTTACTGATGCTTTTGGGTCATAGTGCCGACAATTCATGGGTGTGCCGATCTCATATCTCTTATGGGACCTGTAGTAAAATTAGCTATGGTTATGATATACATACTCTTCGATACCCTCCTTATATTTACTAGATTTCATCTCATTTTTGAACCCGTAATACACAATACCAATGCCAATGTATAGAATGTTGTATTTCTCCTATTCTTTCTAGGCTCATCTATCAGTCATCGAGAATGTTGTCGCTTAACGAACTCACTGGCTCTGTAACTGTCTACAGCCTTAATAAATAACTCCATTGGGCTTTGCTCATGACACCAATAATTCACCAATCTACACCGTTTCTGTAGCTACTCCATAGTTACCGCATTGATCTCTGGCGACCTGTTCGCACACATCTTTCAACTCATCCGTTAACTCACGTACGTCCCTGTTAGCCCACTAAGTGTATATAACATCTTCGGTTGTCAGCCGATCCTCTACGAGCTCACCTAATTGGCTTTAAATTCGTTCCGTGTGGCTGTTACACTTATAACGCTGCATATGAAGTCATCCTCTTGTTTTTTGCTTTCCCTTTCGGCAATCTTCCGCCTCCAGGTGAGCAACAGTCCGTTAAATATACTCGCGTCATTTATTGCTTCAGTGATTTCGACTCAAACCAAAGTGAACATTGTAAGTATTGCTCGGGCTAGTGGATATCACATCAACACATACTGCACTTTATCCAATGAGTGTAGACTCGACTCAATTGAATCGCAGCTGGTGAACCAGAATGAAGAACTTTCAACTTCAGACCATACTTGCTATCCAAACTGAGGCAACATATCACAGAGATTCCACTGAAATTCGATACGTACATTTTTTCGTAAAATGCTTATCTCAGAAATGCTGCTCATGACAGATGTCCATTCCGTCTGCTTCCTCACTGCATTCGCTTGCCTTGCGGCTTCTCTTGCTAGCTTTCGCACCATCTGGCCACGTTTTTCATACAATCGACTCCAATAGGCGGGCGGTGCAGTCACCGATTTATGTTGTGTAATTTATTTTCTTTCCTGCTTGCTCATTCTCTATTTTTATTTTCCATTCTAGATCAAACGAGATCCAGATACCGGCAAAAGCAGAGGGTACGGCTTTATTCGTTTTAGTGACTTCGATGGACAAGTCATGTGTCTGGCCGAGAGGCACATGATCGACGATCGGATATGCGACGTCCGCGTGCCATTGTCCAAGGTAAGAAACCCATTGTGAATGTCCCCATGGACATGTTTGCGCATATTATAAACCGCCCTTTATCCTCAGACTGCGGATTCTGCCCGACTTTCCATGATGTTTGATACAATTGCCTGCAATCTCTGCTTCCCGAGTTCCTTGCCCCTGCATCTGCTTAGGTGATCTGGAAGTGCCGAAATCAGCATACAGTGATTGGTTGGTAGCGAAGAATCAGCACAAGTCACTGGTTACTGCTTATTCCTCTTTTGAGAATCTTTGGTACATTGTTTTGGGCGTCCGGCTTGCCATCTTTACTCTTTGACTTCGGGTCTCAGTCCCAAGGGTTTTGGCCCCTGCATCTTGTTTTCGCAATCTGGATGTTCCCATCTTTTTTAGCTCATGTAGGCATGTCCACCAAACGAATTGTGATTGGATATGGTTTTACAACTTGGTGCTAATTCACTCGATCTCACCGGAGCAAATGTATCGAGAGCGTTTGGTTAGTTTGTACATTGCCGGAAAACTCTGTCAGGCGGCAACGTTCCTTATCACTTTACACTCGTTCCGGACTTGTTGTATCGCTTCTCCAAAACCCGCTCATGGGTAATCTGCGGCTACTGGATTTCAATTCCCTTGGTTGTGACCACACACAACCCGTTTCCGCTGATACCGGGTCAAAGCCTTGTGGCAGTTGTTGAATCCACTCAATCGTAGGCTATTTTACTAGCCTGGATTTCATTGAACAGCTGTTTATGTGCCCTACGACATCATAGCTTACTCAGAGTCAACAGGCAGCGACTGAATGCAAGATGCCTTTATTCCATTTTACCCTAAACTTCTGACTGCAGTTCGAAAGCTGTCAAGGGTGAATTCTATCAACTGTTCGCCCCAAAAAGTGCGTGATCCTTGCTGGATACATTTAACAAGTCAGTTACCCATCCAAATCTGAGCTTCACCCCGCAGATGATTTCGGAGCGGATGCATGCCGTTCGGACAATAATCACCACTTTTTCAGTTGTACGCTGACCACAACAGCTTTTCAGCATGATAGTTCACATCGGATTACGTGGTGACTAAAGAACGACGGGTTACAACGTACTCAAATTGATTTCATTATCATCAGCCCTCGGTGCCGCACGCCAGGACCAGATTATCAGTCAATCTAGAGCACTTACCTGGACTCTGTCTGTACTGATCCGTTAGACAGCTGTGACCCGGGCACCATAGTGCGGTGATTTCAGCTACCATGATTTACGTCGCCAGGATAACAGTCAATTGAAACTGTGAGAAGATAATGGGATCAAGAGGCATGTAGATAAGTGCTAGTCGATAAATACTAACGACATTACTTGGAGCAGCATATTAGCTGCTAAATGCAAGAAACTGAATCCGGGGACACCACTGCATAACTGCTCCATATCTGTTAGGGTAGCCTGTTATGATACAGCGCTTAGTCTTTCATCCTGAGCCGGAGAGAAACGGTCACTAACCTCACTTGAGTAGAGCGTGACTGATCACCAAATTCCGACCATCGGCTCATCGAAGCTTCGATAAACTGAGCTGACTTTTCTTTTCCTTATCCTGTACAACAAACATTGCTTGTATGAGGTGCGCTTGTTTATCAACTTCTCTTGGTACTTTGTCAATGCCACCCTGCAACTAGGGGTAGTCATCTACGGTTGAAGTCCATATTGCAATCCGTGGGTCCTCGGTACGGATCCGCGTATATGCCCGTGACCTCGCGGTGTACCCGGCCCACACGCTACATGATGATCCCATGACAGCAAATCTTGAGCACATTAATGCTTTGTTATATATTCGAAGGGCATCTCACTCAACTCTGGTTACATTAGCGCCTCACACAGTCGACATTGACGGCATACAGTTGTCGATTTGTAGTAACTTGGAAGCTGCTCATTGTGTAGTTCAGTTATTCTTCGTAGGCTGTTGGCACGTAAGGATAAGTATGCATTCTGTTACATTATTTAGGGTTAAACGATCATCAGTTCATAACCTCGTTTCGAACTTGTGCTTGATTTCTGTGCACCATCATCATTAGCGACTTTAACTTGGCACTTCTACTGGCCATCTTGCTCTTTTCTCCGCTTGAACTACGAACAAAGCGAGCCAGTAATAAAGGTCCCCTTGCTCATCTCTGAGCATCAATCCGTTGTTTTCTCCGTATTCGTTGAGACCTTCGGGGCCTTCATCGTGACCTGTCGGATCGCGGTAGGATTCATCAATCAGTTGTGGCCAGAACACTCCGGATCTACTCGGTCACGTTTGCTGTGCATGTCACTGGCCGGAGGCGAGATGATCTCATACACCGACTCATTACCAACCTTGGAGACTTCAGTAGGCTTTTTTCGATACTTGGGTATTGGCGACGTTAAATCTGAAATGGCACTGCACTTTAACGAAAATCCGCAATGTACTTGCCTACCCATTGGGTTCCTGTTTGGACTTGTACACCCTGTCAGTTTCCTGACTTGCGTAATCTCCAATCACAACTGCATGACAGTATTGCGCTAGTGCGGATTACTGGTGTGCAGTTGACACCAGAAGTGTAACACAGCATGGAGTTATTCTGGATGACAATCTTGAACGGCACGGATGCTGATCATACTGGATCGGTTAGTGGTTTGAGCTCAAACAAGCTCGGCCTATTTTTACTCCTTGCTGATATCTGGAACTTTGTTGATAACTGTGTCAGTGAAACTGGTCGTTACCTTAGTTCCACTTTTGTGTGGTCGCTAGTATTATCCGGAAGATTTAGTTATATATACTATAGTGATTCCGCAATTCACGCTTAACAGTTACTATTTTCTCAAAACGGCCACCTCTTTCGTTGGCTGTTGCAGTGTTGTAGGAATTGACAAATCTGCCGTATATGGTAGGATGGATAACGGGTACTAGGTACTACTGCTTTTCGCTTTCCTACCTGTTTCTATCACTCACCACGATCCTCATTACTAGCCCACTTTTTCTCTTGATTTGTTTACGCAGCACCAGCTGCATTACTACTGAGACTTCTACATTTCTATCCACCTGACAAACATATTTCGATATCCTCCTGCCATCGACACCTTCTATTCTACCACTCTGTCTATGTTTCTAGGCAGCGCTAAACATTTGTGCCACATAACGGATAGGTCGCCTGGCTGCACCACACGCACACTGGTTGATTTTGCTGCTGACGTGTGTTGCTTCTATGAAATTGGAACTCTCACGCGGCTCTAGAGTTGACTGCACCTGCCTTTGGCTACATGCATCCGCAGATGCTGATGCATCAATCCCATATTAAGCTTCGCTTAGTACCTTCTTCATTTACAGTAATGCACCGTTGTCTGTTGTTTGAATTTCCCCGGGCTCTTGTCTACCTGCAGCCTACTTGACGCAATCACGGGCTATTTGTGGAGTGTACCACGAGCTGCAGCTTGTTCCTGGTCAGATGTGTCGACTCGTCCGCGTTACTTGTTCAGCTTCTCTCCTGTCTGCACAATTCAAAGATTGTGGTGTTTTCATTTTCTGTCTTGAAGTGTAGTGATGGGAGAGAGCAGCTCCGATATTCTTCGCAATTGTGAACCTGTTAGGAATTGACTGCTGTTCAGTCGGATGGTATGAAGGAGCTGTCCCACCTACTAGGGCTGATCGACCTTCAAGGGTGCGATTGCAACTATGCCAAACACGGGGGTATTGGCCTCACGCTGTTAGTGTTGGTTACATTCCCGTTTACTGCCATATTTCCGAACGGGAATTCCGTGTGAGAGAACAGGTAGACTTTCAACCTGGACGGAGCTCCTAGGTCACTATGTCCACTCTGCGACAAGTGGAATTACAGCGTCACTCGTTCTGCAGGTTTTATATAGCTGTGTTATGCTGTATCATGTACCTTCGGTAGAATTTACCCTAAAATGTATGCGTTTCACGCATCCAACAGTCAGGATCCGCGGCGACCTGTGGGAATTCCGTCTGGTGCTTTTCCGGGTTGTTCCATACACCGCCGGCCCGTAGCCTAAAGGTAATGTACTTGTCTACTAATCTGATGGCGCGGGTTCGAACCTGCGTACGAGCAGTGCGACCCTCGCATTATCCTTAGCCCTGCGCAACCAGTGGTAGTCGCGCGGCAGCGAAACGTCGGTACTGCGTACTGGCGTACTGCTGATGTCTATGTCTTTCATTCACCAGTTCATGATCATTTCCGGACAGTCCGACAGTGGTCTTACTCAGCACCCTATGGGGACCTGAAATTTCACGTGTTCCATGAATTCATCTGACTGTCAGTTCAGTACAGTTGGCCCCCTGTCCCCGCTTCTAGGGATTTTATGGATGACTTTGGAGGACTCATTCATCGGAACCTGATGACCTTTTTAACCGCTTATTGCGTTATGAAACTGTTGATGTTCTTCACCATGCCTTTCCGCAGTAATGCAAGACAGTTTTCAGCAATCGATTTAAACAAACCCCTGGTCGTATGTCCAAGTTACCTTGCACCACAGGTGCAGGTAGATTAATATAAGATGAAGCTTTAGGACCGAACCGGGAGTTTTATTTAAAGCAATTCGCCAGCGGTACTCCGTAACGACGCCTCGCTGCCGCGCGACCACCACCAGTCACTTGGTTGGGCTGAGTGTACCGCGAGTACGCCCGCCCCTACGCGGATTCGAGCTGATGACCTTATGATTACAAGCCAAGCGTGCAGACCACTCTGCCACCAGCCGACGCGTTTTCTTTTAGGTGCTAAGTAACCAGTGGCCTCGTTTCAACAGGTATTTCCAGTCCCTACATCATAAGGATTTTTATTCAACATTTCGAAAACAACATCACCTTTAAGAGGGATTGTAAGGAAGCCATTCTTTTTTGACACTGTTATGACAGGTTTGGCAGCATCTTGTGGAATGGAATGCTTCTTATGATTGGGACGGATTACCTATTTTCTTGCAGCTTGTGACGATGAGCTTTGTTACACTTTCAAACATCTCAGGGTTTCAGGTGGATCTTGCGCGATGTTATTGACAACG